CCACCCACGCACCCATCCATCCCCCCACGCGTCCGTCCATCCGTGCGTCCGCGTGTGCGCCGTGCTCGCCGAGGCGCTCCGGCCCCGCCAGGAGGAGAAATCCAGGCGCATCCCGCTGGGATCGGGGCTCCCCGCTCCTCCCTTCCCAGCAAAGCGCATCCCGCGCCGGCGCCGCCGCCGGGCTCCGCGGCGCCCCGCGCCCTCACGGCCCCATCATGCAGGCCATTTTGCAGGCGACGGCCGAGATGAGCGCGGCCCCGCGCCCGCTGCCTTCCTCCGACTGGAGGAAGGTGATGTCGCAGCCCGGCGTCAGCTGCCGCACCGTGGCGTGGAAACGCTCCTTGAAGCTGCCGGCGGAGGGAGCGAGAGCGGGGCGTTATTGCGGGGAGAGCCGGGGGGAAGGCGATGGTGAAGACGAGGGGCGGGAGGAAGGCGCCGGTCACCTGGGATGGAGCTTGTAGACGGAGCCGTCGACGCCCACGGTGATTTTGAGGGTCTCCTGGCTGCGGCTCTCGCGCATGCGGTTGATGACGCCGGCCAGGCCGGCCGAGCACATCTGGGCGGCGCGCGTGGAGACGCTCTCGCAGACCATGCGCACGATGTCACAGTCCGTCCCCGAGGGCAGCAGCTCGAAGGCCGTCAGGATGTTGTAGATCTGCTTGCGGTCGCCCGAGTCGCTGGCGTGGCGGGAGACAGGGCGGCGTGAGGGGCTGCGGTCCCACGGGACACCCCGCTACGGCACTTGTCCCCGTGGGGTCGGGCGACAGCGCTCAAGACCCCAGTACAGGGCAGAGGGCTCGAACGGGGGTGCCTGAGGTGTCCCCACCACCGTCCGCGCCGCCGCCGCCGTGCCCGGTACCTCTCGATCTGAGACACGAAGCGGGTCTCGAAGGTGCCGCACGTCTTGAGCTTCTCGGAGGCCTCGCCGTTGAAGAGCAGGTTCTCGTCGACGAGCTTGAGCAGCACGAGCCGCACGATCTCGCCCATGTACTTGCCGCCGATGATCTTCTCGTAGCTGCGGCGGGGACGCAACGGGGCGGCCGTCGGGCGCGTGCGGGGCCGGGCGGACGGGGCGAGCGGCGCCGGGCGAGCACCCCGGCCCCGCGGCGACCCGGGGCGCGCGCGGAGGGCCCGGGGCGCAGGGCTGGGACGAGGGAAGCGGGGCGGACGGGAACCGTGTCTGCCGTGTTCCTTACAGCTGCTGACCGGGGTTAAGGGAGGTCTCGTCCACCACGCGGTCGTACTCGAGCAGGAACTCGTCGAGCTCCCCCGAGGCGCCGAACGCGCCCCACTCGGTGTTCACGCACATCCTGCCCTCGTCGCCCTCCACCAGCTCCACGTTGTGCATCTCCTCCATGTAGCAGGCGTTGCAGCCCGTGCCTGCGGCGGGGCGGCGGCGGCGGCTGGGCGCGCGCCGGCCCGCAACGAAGGGCCCCCCCAAACCCCGCCGGCCCCGAGGGGGCCCCCGAGGGGCTTTGCTGGGGGGGGACCCCGCGTACGCAAGGGGCAGCCGGCCTCAGCGCTGCGGGGCCGTCCCTCCTCCTCCTCCTGCCGCCGCGCGGTAAACAGGCCACCCGTGTTTACCCAGGCGCAGGGGAGGCCAAGGTCGGCTCGGGAAGCCCAGATGGCCGCGCCGATGACGGCACTAAATATAGAGGCCAACTGCTCCTCTGCGCCCGGCCGGGGCCGCCGGGGAGCCAGCCCGGCCCTGAGGGGCCTCGGCCTCCGGGGGTCCCCGCGACGTGGCCGCGGATGGGCCGGGATGCCGAGAGGAGGCGCCGGGAGCAACGCGTCCCGTGGGGGCCGCGGCTTTGCCCACGGGGCTGGGTGACAAGCGCCTCCGGCTGCCCCCCTCCCGCCTCAGTGTCCCCCCCAGGGGCCAAGCCCCGGCGCGGCACGAGCGGCAGCCGGGCTGGGGCGTCCGAGCGGCGCGCGGCGGGGCCGTCTTACCCACAATCATCCCAACCTCGCACCGGTGATCTTCGTAGTAGCAGGAGATCATCGTGGCCACCGTGTCGTTCACCATCGCCACCACGTCCATCTCGAAGTCCTGCGGCGGGCGAGGAGGCGGCTGGGCCCGCGCAGCGGCGGCGCAGGGGCGCGCGCCGCGTGCCCCCCTCGGGACACCAGCGGTCCCAGTGTCCCCGCAGCGGGACGGGGACGGGGCGCGCAGGGACAGGCGAGCGGCACAAACCGTACGGTCGTCTCACCCCTCGCCGTTTGATGGCGTCTCGGAGCAGCCCCACGACGTTGTTGCCTTCCGCGCCCGAGGCTTTGAAGCCCTTGGTCCAATTCAAGAGGATCCCCTGGGACGAGGGGCAAGGGAGCGGCGGGATGAGCGGGCGGCAGGGACGTCGCCGCCGCGCCGCCCGCCCCCGAGCCCTTCACCTTGTCGATGTCCTCGTGCCGCACGGGGAAGGAGAAGGTGAAGCCCAGGGGCAGCTTTTTGTGCTTCATCTGGTGCTTGTCCAGGAAGTCGGAGATGCACTCGGAGATGTAGTCGAAAAGCTGGAAGAGAGCGGGCCGGGACGGTCGCCCTCGGTGCAGGGCCAGCCCTGCTCGGGGCCGGCAAGATGTCCCCGTCCCCGCGTGTGGCCACGTCCCCGCTCGGCTCCAGCCGCAGGGAGCTGGGCCGCGGTCCCAGTGCGCCCAGCTCTCCAGGACGGAGCGTTTCTTGCTCCTCTCCGGGCAGCCCGGGGCCAGGGCAGTGTAGGGACAGCCCCACCACGAGCCCACAGGCTGCCCCATGGATGTCCCCAGTTGGGAATGGACACTGCCCAGCTGGGAACAGCTCCACCA